GCCAACACCAACAAAAACAGATCCAAAATCGCCCAACACCCCACAACCGCCATTACGTCACAGCCATCGTCGCCGCCTCCACCACCTTCACATCAAGCGGGTTGTTGCAGGAGCGACGACGATTTCGATTTGAGAGTATAGAGACGGTAGTAAAGAGAGAATGGAAGGGAGATGAAAGAACCATCGCCGCTGTCGCCACCACCACTGCCACAGCCTCCACTTGCACCACCAACAAAAACCTCAATAACTCATGGCCAAGCTCAAGGCCTCTAGATCCAACATCACCGTCGCATCTCTACCTGCACAACCAACAAAAAGCCCCCAACAACACCAAGACAACCTCAAACCACCACCACCACAAACAACATCAACACCACCACCACACCCCCAAGCAGATTCACCATCGCCACTGTTAAAAACCACCCGCCGCTCTGAGATCTTCTTACACGGGATTACGCTGCTATCTCTGTTGCCGCTGCTCGTGTTGCTGTGGTATATGTGGCAGTCGCATCGGCACCATAGAGAGAGGAGGTAGAGATGGAATAGAGATGTCGAGAGAGGAAGGGGCATCGTAGAGAAAGGAGGGAGAGAGGGAAGAGAGATGTCGAAAGAAGTGGGAGAGAGGAAAAAAATTAGGGCTTGGGTGGATAGGGGATAGGGGTGGGTATATAGATTAATTTAGTTTTAAAATTATTATTAATATTTAACTGTTTAATTATGTTCTAATTTTTGTAAAAATAAACTTTAAATCTGACTTTTGAAATGTTAACTTCAAAATTCTATTTTCAAGTAATTTCCTCATAAATTTGCATGATGCAAAGTTCTCTTCAGATACGACTATTAAATTTCAATCTTGTTACATGTATATCAAGTTTGACGTTGTTATATGGTGTCAGCGTTTTATACATTAATTTTAAAAACGCATCAAACAATTAATATATTAGATTTTGACCCATAACGTAGAGTCAAACTTGTTGTACACTAAGAGTAAAAGTGCATTTGATTGCCGATATTTTCAATGAAAGATGTG